GGGGCGCCACCGTCAATACCGGATCGCTGGTTCAGATTTTTGCCATGTTGGAAACCATATAGTTGAACGATGGTAGCGCCCCCCTGTCATTGAGTTTGGCGGGACAGTTCAGCGTGGGTCATCTATAATTTGATCACTGATCAGCCCCCCTAGACAAAATGCCAAATGTGACAGTTTTTACAGATTTATGTCCGAAAATGGTCGAAAAGCTTTTTTTTATACGGAGTTTCAACGGATTCGATTTTCGATTCGATTATAAAGTCCCCCTTGTCTAGACCCACTGGAGTCGACGACTTATTTTTTATAATATTATTTATGAATGAGGGCTATCGTTTCAGCGCTCACCAGTTAGCGCCACTGTAGAGTAAGGTCCTGTCACTTGCTAGTAGCGAAGACAGTGGCACCAACTTGAGAGCGCTAAAGTGGTAGGAGGACTATCGCATTCGCACTCATCAAGATGGCGCCACTGTAGAGTAAGGTCCTGTCAATCGCCAGGGGTGCCAACTGTTAAGTATAAAAACGATAGCCCTCATTGTATGGGACTTACCCGCTATTGTTGATAGCGGAGTAGACGCCATAGTAAGTAGCGCTTTCCACCATGCCCAGAAGCGCCACGCCGCCGATCCAGTACTGTATGCGTAGCAGGTCCCGCCACTGCAGGCCACAGACCAGCAGCCAACCCGCACATAGCACAGTGTAAACGCCGCACATAACGCCGAAGAACTGGAAACGATGGATAGAGGGTTTTATTTAGCTGTTGTTTAGTGTTGTTTACCTTGTAGCCATATTTTTGGGGTTTTGGTCTTTTTAGGGTTCCGTAGCCAAATGGATAGGTCTTCAAAAATGATATCGAGGTTTCTAAAATATTTTTTTTTTAAACCGAATAGTTTGCGTGACAGACGCTTCCAAAGTGGAAAAAAGTTGGTCCCCCCCCCCCTCTAACTTCTAAAATAAGAAAAACATATGATGTACATTACTATAAAAACTAACAACGAAAATTGTTTTGAACGAGATCTAGTAAGTAGTTTTTTTTAATACCTCGTAAATCGTAAACCGCTTATTACCGCGTAATCTTTCATACAAATAACTTAAACTAAAAAAAAAAAATTCATAAATCAATGGTACGGAACCCTTTGTGCGTGAGTCCGACACGCACTTGGCCGGTTTTTTCTTTTGTTTTTGGCCATGCCTATGATGTTACGGTCCATACAGTGACCTCCCCATTAAATTCCGCTAAAGTCACTACACGGTTCACGTACGCACGGCAAAAGTATCGACACGGTTAAAAAAGTTAAAGCAAAAAAAAAACAATTACAAAACGCACACAGATTACAAAACTATTTCAAAGTAAATTTATTAAATTTATGAATGGCCAACATTGTTAGAGAATGCTGAAATCATGAACAAACGTACTTACGTTGCTTGTTGTTATTTAAAAAAATTTGATTCGCAGAGGCTGCTCAAAGGGTATGATAGGTTAATAAATCATTACAAACTGATTAAAGTTACAAAACTTTGATAATTACCACTAATAGAGGCCACATAGCGGCGGAGAGGTATCCTGAAGGGGCCAACATCTCGACTTGCATCGAGCCCTTGAAGTTTGGTGAACTGGATATAGACATCTCCAGCTTGTATACCCCTTCCTTATCCACCATCAATAGGGGACGTATTTTCTGTGGAATAACAAGACAAACAAGTTATTAAAATTTCTTAACAATATCAGCATCAGCCACATCTCAAAGTAAATCTATACTAATATTATACAGGGTGTTAGGTAAATGGGTATATGAGCCGACACTAGCCCATGTTCACATGGGCATATAAATGGTATGGTGAAGTCAGAAATTTGATAGCATCATTGTATTTTTTTAAATTTTCATACAAAATAAATTTTATAAAATCCGATTTTTATGAAAATTAAAATAATTAAAATGAAAATATCTATTTTCTGACTTCACCATACCATTTATATGCCCATGTTAACATGGGTTAGTGTCGGCTCATATACCCATTTACCTAACACCCTGTATAAATGCGAAAGTAACTCTGTCTGTCAGTCTCTCTTTTACGCCTAAACCACTGAACCGATTTTGATGAAATTTGGCATAGAGATAGTGAGTCCCGGGAAAGGACATAGGATAGTTATTATCCCGGTTTTTGAAACAGGGACGCGCGGGATAATGTTTTCCTGTGACAGAAAACAAAATTACGAGGGCGAAGCCGCGGGTGGAAAGCTCGGTATAAATAACTTGAAAAAATCGAACTGCCTAAGGCGGGAATAGAAATCACGACCTTTCGTATTAAATACACATCCTCCATCCAGCTTAGGGAGCTTATACGCGACATTTTGCAGAGATACAAGCGCACACTTTACAGTGACTGCATCGCGATTGTATTGCGTGTGTGTAAAGGTGCAACTCAGTCAGGTCAGGTCAGAGAGGAATGGAAAGGAGCATGCTAGGATTGAAACTAATGGACAAGACCAGAAATACAGATATCAAGTGCAAAACGAAACTAACAGACATCCTGACACGCATCGATCAACTCAAATGGAGATGGGCGGGACATATGCTACGCTGTAACAAGGAGAAGTGGTGTAAACGGTTGACAGTGTGGTACCCAAGAGATAGCGCCAGAAACCGAGGTCGCAAGGCTTTAAGATGGGAGGATGAATTGAGGTTGACCGCAGGACCTCTATGGATGAGAGTGACGGAGGACAGAAGGCAATGGAAGGAGTTGGAGGAGGCCTTTGCCAATAGGCACACCGAAATCTTAGACATTTTGTGAAAGTTTTTTAAGTGAAGCATTTGTTCTATATAAGTGTTATCCTAAATTCAGAAAGCGTCAAATGTAAAATGTAAAAATGTTTCGGAAATAAAAGGCTTATTATTTTTATTTTTTATTATTATAAAGGTGCAACTGTCTTGATACTGCATCGCGACTAAATCGCGTTTGATTCGCTACAAAAAGTCATTTGAACAGTGTCCTAAAGCTTCAACTGGCCAATGACAGGACGCGCGACCTTTCATTGGCCTATGAACGCGTCGGCGATGGCGATTTGCACGCGTTGGTTTGGTTGTAGCTTAATTAATTATCAAAACTTAAAAAATATTGTCTCAGGTTGGGAATTGAACCCACAATCTTTCGCTTGCCTGGCTCTCTGTAAGTTTTTCTACTGAAGATACATACCGCGTCTCTTCCCCCTATTTGCTTATCAGCATTTTCAGGGAGTTTATACTTTTCATCTTGCAAAATGTAAGATGTCCCATTGTGGCAGTTGTACGTCGTTGGTCCGGTCCCAGCTTGAACTAAATTACTTGAATTGCTAGTGTCGGGGACGGACCTTTCAACTCGTCGTGGACATTCTACTATTTGCTGAAAAAATACAAAAATATACATTCAAACTTTGCAGTTAAAAACTATGTATTGATAACATTATTCCAGGTTACAATTTTGATGATAAGCTTAATCGTAAATGGTTATCTGTGTTTGACATCAATAGATAACGTCCCCAACTTCGGTGACTAACAGACTAGATTATCATGTACAAGAACGTTTACGGTGTGTTTGATGTAAGAAAGAAAGTATTTATTTGATGCGAGTATTAAAAGCGTTACAAATAAATAACAACTTAAACACTAAAAACAGAGTACACTGTACTCATATAAATAAAGAATACTTATGAAGGTAATTATTATTTATTTAAAAAAGTATAAAATTAAGACTATCTTAAGTTTATATTGGAGATCTGAGTGGAGAAAAAAGGAAATTTTATTAGTATGGATTAATTTAAAAAAGTACAACATTCATATTTACTTAATTTTATGATTTATAAGTACCTACTACATTTCAGTAGGTAGGTGCTAAAATCTAACCATCATCATTATTAAGGTAAATGTTATTCAAATCTTATCAAAACTACAATAAATGTGCTTATAATGGCAATGATTATCGCTCCAACGTTAATTAAAACTTCCCATTAATCACGCAATACTTTTAATTGTGTCAATAACCTTGTAATAATAATGTTAGTACAGAAATGTTTTAATTACGTACCTGTTCAAAGTAGTGGAAATAGTCCGGTGAGCACGGGAATGGAGACCAGTGATATGACACCGTAACGTTCGCAGCTTCCTTGCCACAGTGTACTGTAATATAGCAACAGAAAACCCAATAATAACAACAAAAATACGTTGATCAAACTCCAACTACTAGAAACCACTTTTATGATTACTTTTAGGAGTATTTATGATTAAAATGAGCGAGTATGACGTAATACATAAATTAATAATAATAAAAATGAATCAAACACTTAAAATCTAGTTATTTTCAAAAATTAGCAACATAAATTGTATACTCACAAACTATAATCAACTTAGAATTTTTAAAAAGAGATTTGGCCAATTGAAAGCCGCAATTTCCCTGAAATAGAACACATCGCAATGAATAATAGGAAACATTCTAATTTTTACACAGATAAATCGATGCAAGAGGTCTTTTTTTCTGTAGGCGTTAACTACAATGCAACGCAATATGTTTATAGTAATATCGTACGGATTAACTTGAATTTCCTCTAATATGAGAAGGATAAAGAGATAAGGATAGTAAATAAACACTTTTATACCCCGTTTAGCGGTAAATCCCATCTTCCAACATCGGAAAAGCTAAGTGATACACTAATTAATGCTGCTAAAATAAATAAGCGGCGAAACATTTTGATGAGATCTCTATAAACTGGAAGAACAAGAAATTATTTATTGTTCTCAAAATTTATTCTAAACCACATTTTCAGGGGGTTTTTGTAACAAATAGATATTTTTTTTCGTAAACCGTGACACACCACAACACTTGACGAAATTCGATTGTCACTGTCAATGTCAAAGTAGTTAGTTTTTATTTTTTTCCTTGCATTGGATTTACGGATTTGTGGTTTCTTTCTGGTTTGATCCAAAGCCATGATTATTGTCTATGATAAAAATTTGTTATTTGTCTTTGAGTCAATTTGACAGATAGCAGACATGGTTGATTTCGTGTCAAAATATTGTTGTTTTGTCTCTTGTATTTTGCTGTAAAAATCGCATAATATGTCATAATTTTAATATTTTCTATTTATTTTATTAGATAACTACGTGAATTACAAATAAGTTGGTCGGAAATTTATAATGTTTTGGTGATTACAATCTTCATAGTGTGGTAGTCATGTCAGACTGCGCGTTAGTGGCCAATGTAAACGAACACGATGCGAGCATGGACGTGGGGAACGACAAGTCTCTTTTCGAGCCTACAGTTGATATGATGGTAAATGATTTCGACGACGAGAGAACTCTAGACGAAGAAGAGGCTTTGGCGGCTGGCGAGCAGCAGGACCCGAAGGCAGAGTTGAATAGCTTGCAGAGAGAGGGGGACATGCCCTTGGAGGAGCTGCTCGCGCTGTACGGCTACGACAGGAGCATGGACAAGCCCGCGCCGGAACCTACCCCCGAGGTCGTGCCTGAGGAGCCAGAGAAGGCTGAGTCCGCACTACAGCAGTTGTACACTGAGACCACAAGCCCAGAAGCCACTCGCTGCCTCCGCTCAGGCTCGCGGCCGCCCTCCGAGGAGGAGGACGACTATGACTACAGTCCAGATGAGGAGGATTGGAAAAAAACTATCATGGTCGGCAGCGACTACCAAGCTGGCATCCCCGAAGGTCTATGCAGTTACGATGATGCCCTACCGTATGAAAATGAGGACAAACTATTGTGGAACCCGACTGTTCTCGATGAAAAAGTCATAGAAGACTATATGAAAAAGATAAGTGCTATGAACTCTAGTACTGGAGTCGAAGCCGTTCCTTGTGGTAAACAGTTGCGCGATGATGAGGAAGCTCTGTTTTTATTACAGCAGTGTGGGCACAATGTCGAGGAAGCTTTAAGACGAAGACGGATTTCTGCCCAAACACCAGCCCACGCAAGTTTGTGGTCAGAGGAAGAATGTCGCAATTTTGAAAATGGTCTCAAAGCTCATGGCAAAGATTTTCACCTAATCAGACAGCACAAAGTGAGAACTAGATCAGTTGGGGAACTGGTACAATTTTATTACATTTGGAAAAAGACAGAGAGACACGATATATTTGCTAACAAAGCCCGTCTTGAGAAAAAAAAGTATACATTGCATCCTGGGCATACAGACTATATGGACAGGTTTTTGGAGGAGCAGGAAGCGTCAGGGGCTGGTATGGTGAGACCGGCATCACCGTCACCCATGATGGTGTATGCACCATCACCTGCCGCGCAGCCCGATCCTTTAGCGTTGGGAGAGAAAGAGGTTTTCTCTCAGCTGAACACACACACATCGCCCTCCCGAGCACTATCAACAGAAGACCAAGAGCCTGAAGCAGGTTCCTAATACATGCATATGGCGAAGCCATTTAACGTAGAGAGCACTGTTTGTATCATAACTACATCTTATGGTGTAAATGTTCCCATGCATGCAATGCGACATAAATGCATATTGTGTTGTTTTACTTATAGTTGTCAAAAATCTTCTAGATTCTATAGAAAAAAGCATTTTGTTTGGTTTAATTTAATAATTAGGACTAATTGTAATGTAGTTAAAAGTCTATATAAGGTAAAAAATGCTTGTTTGGATGTTTGCAGATGTTGTCCAGAATTACTTTCTCCATTTTTACTTCTATTTGAACTGAAAATATTCAGAAAAACATTTTATTATTGTTTCCTATACAAAACTATAATTTCTATATCATATAATCAACTGCAAATTAGACTGATCTTATTTTTTTTCGACTACAGTATTTTATGATAAATGTATGTATGATTGTTAATAATATTATGTTTTTAACTTTTGATTGTAGGGTTGGCCCTGTGCCATTTTAATTACATAACGATAAAATAACTATGCTAATGCAAACAAAATTGTCTATAATTAGTTAAGTACTACCATAAGAACAAATAACACATAAATTAATTGTTCTTATAGCACTACTATATTTTGTATGTTAGTTTTGCATGCATGATAGTACTTGTTAAGGTATAGATCAGGAACTCGTAAGCTAAAATGTTTGCTCTCCTCAAATCTAGGTCCCCTGGGCCACACACATCGCGATAACATTCGGGTGACATTGATTTCACAGCGGAGCGAAATATTGCGACTATGCAAAAAAGCACCGACGTGTACACGAATTTTGAACTACACGTCGCGATAGCGTGAATCTTCGGGTTATCTCTATTTGTATGGCCCAGGGTAAGAGCGCGGAGCGCTTGTAGACGTCCGTTTTTTTCACCGGATAACGGACCGTGTTTTTCACCGGATTTAGCGGCGGCGTATGGTTTATAATGAACATGTGCACATGCATTGGACATAGGTCCGGCGAGAAAATTGTCAGCAAACAAAGGATATCCGTTTTTTGACGGTCCGTCGTCCGGTGAAAAAACGGATGTCTACAAGCGGCCTAAATGTGTATGTAAAAGAAAATAGCACATAGAATTTTTTGAACAAAACATTTGAATTTAACGGTTTTAGTGATTCCTGATCTTGGCAAAGAAATTCCTTTATTCATGGACTATTCATACTTCTTTACTACTTTTATTTGATGACAATACAAATTTTATATGAATGAATGACCCCAAATAAATAAGGTAAATTATATTAATTGTATAGAAACTATTTTAATAGAAAGCATAACAGTACAATGTAAATAATGACTAATACATAATTTAATTTCCTTGCTTGTTTATGGATAGGGGAATTATGCTTCTGTAAGTACCATCTTAGCGATGAATGATGCAAATTAAGTGAGGAACATGATTTATCAATAAACAGTGGTATGTCTATGTGCTTTCTTATTTCCGACCTAAATGNCATTTCCCTCCTAAATGTGATGACGTCATTATGGAAGGTCGATCGTTAACGTATCTCGCTCGACCTGTTGAACTAATCGTAGAAAAATAGTTTTTTAATATCGTCACCAATTCAATGGACGTTTCCATTCATATCAAGTTGTCTTGCGTGATTTGTACTATACCTTGAGCACGAATAAATATAGTTTTCGTTACGGTAATATTACGAGTTATTCGTGCTCAAGGTACTGAACTGAAGCTTTCTATCAACCTGCCTGGTTGATGTGAGCGAGAGGGTGATAGGTGATAGTGCGTGATTTATACTATACCATGAGGACGAAGAAATATAATTTTCGTTACGGTATATTACGAGACTTATTCGTGCTCAAGGTCCTGAACTGAAGCTTTCTCTTTCACTCTGGTTCATGTGAGCGAGAGAGAGATAGATTTCCGTGTAACTAGATAGATTAACTTGAATTTTGATAGGTATTGTTTTTCTTTACCTAGGTAAGTAGTTCCTGTAGACATTTACCTTATCTACAATCTGATAAGATATCGGCAAAGTTAGAGCCGTATAGCGGGGATTAAGTAGGTGGGTAGTCACATGAGGTCCCTATTGTTGTCCGCATTTAAAATGGTTGTTGAGTTGGGTGTTGGGGGACTTTGTAGGTACCTAGTTATTTCTTTCGGGTTAGGATTGTGGCAGTGTTCCGACCGAGCTAGGGTTGTTGGTTTAATTCGCCCCCTACGCCATGTTACTCGTGACAACAGTCGCGCAAATTCACTAGCGCGTCTGCATGATTACGATTGGTATCAATAGCTGGAGGCACCAGACGCCAGACCATTCTGGGGTGGGGTGGTGCCAGCCAACCCATGCTACGCCGCCACTGGGTTCTATATTAAATAGGGTAAAAGAATGCAGCAGTGGCGCAGTGTTTCTTATAATTGCCTGCTATCTACTTAATATATTTAGCAATACGATAATATTTTTTATTTTTAGGGCTAACCAAGAATCGTAAGATTTTGTTGAATTCTATGCGTGGCTAGGCTATTTCGTCTAGCAATCTATTCTGGTTCATCGACTCCTCGTGCCGGCTCATGGCCCGTGCTGCTTCTCGACTGGCTATACTGCCAGTCGGTGGTTGGACGTCGCTTTGGCAACGGACCTGCAGCTTCTACCTGGCACCACTGTCCCACCCTCGGCATGTTACTAGCCCACCGGGTGAGTCGACGTTGGTCGAGGCCCAGTGAATGACCAGCGAGCGGGCGGTTCCTGGTTGTTGAGGGAGCTTGCAGGTAGTCATTTGGTCAGTCTCAGTCTGTCTGGTTGGGTTGGTGGGGGCGTTGGGCTGTCACAATTCTGAAGCGGGGCCTTGCTGTAACAGCCGTTGTGGAGATGGTGCTCGCAGGTGCAGCAGGCTGGTTTTTTGTCCAGCAAAGTAAAAACCATTGAACAGCTCGCTTGGCTGGTTTTAAGTTCTCCATCATCATGGTCATGGTCATGGTCAAATTAAAATATTGAAAAATAAATAACGGTAACGTTACGTTATTTGATTGACGATCCGTTAAAATAGTATCCATCGATTTGGTTTTTTGTTTGACATTGACAATTCCATCCATTTCTAACCAGCTGCATTTTTTCATTCAAAGTTCAAACAAATTACATTTTGAGAAAATTAATTCTCGTTACATTTTGTATGCACGTAAATTTTAATACATTAAAATTAATGAACAGCAAGGCAGAATAATTTTGTGTGATTCCGTTTAGTTCATGGTTAAAATATGATTGTAACCTCTGAAATGACGGCAAAAGAAATTCTTAACGATTTCAAAGAAAATTACGGGAAAGTTCGCAAATTACTCGACGAAGACAGTAAAAATGACCCCGAAAACGAACCTTACTTATCGAAATACAAGGCTAGGGATATACTAACGAATATGTGCGATTCCCTCAAGAATATCGATTCTGAATCGAACGTGGACAGTATCAAGCTTCATGCTATGTTGGGGGTTGTTCTTCTAAACATTGGTATAATAGACATGGAGACGGAGGAACTGACAGCTAGCGAGAGAGTGCTCACTGAAGCCGTTGATCTGTTAAGCCCAAATGGTTCTAAACCAGAAATTGTTACAACACTAATCAATATTTACAACAACATAGGTATTTTATGGTCAAATCGAGACGAACCTGGAAAAGCTAAAGGGTTCCTACTTCAAGCCAAAGATCTGTATGAGTCATTCAAATGCACTTTACAAATGCCTTTGCCTATAGAGTATGTGATTGGTAACATGGGAGAGGCTGGTGCAGGAGATTTTATGTTCTTGGAAAAAGCTTACACTTTGACTCTCTACTATTTGGCTCAAGTATTTGGTTCCTTGAAGGAGAATCTGAAGTCTGCCATATACTGCCATGTTACATTGAGGCGCCAGTTACAGTATTCGGATTATGAGCCTATAGACTGGGCTTTAAATTCTGCAACGTTATCTCAATTCTTTGCTGAGCAGAATGGTTTCTTCCAGTCTAGACACCATTTAGCTGCAGCTTCAACGATACTGGACAGTTATGAACAGAAGTTGAATTCTGTTCAGGGCGATGATGAGGGGTTCTTGGCCAAGTTGGAGACGTTCAAACACAGGTCTGCAGATGTGGCGCGATGTTGGGCCAAGTACTGCTTGTTGCTGATGACTGCTTCCAAGAACAGGCTCATGAGTGATGCAGAAACTGTCACAGATGCTATCACAGGTGAATAATCCTCCTTTCCTATCCTATTGAAGATTACTTTTTTTATAAGTTTGACTCAAACTGACCTTCCCTTTTGTATCCAACTTAGATATCTAAAAGCCTTTGTTTCTTTTTTCAGATATGTCTAATTTGAAAATAGAAGATGACGAAAACATTTGTGGTGGTGATGCTAAGAACCTGGTATTCCCTGACATTGATGTAACCAAATATGAGAGTAAAATTATTGATAAATTTCTCCTAACCTACCAAGATGCAAGAGAGGTTTTTCTGTGCTGTCAGAACTGGTTAAATGAAGCGAAAAAATACTACAAGTTGGACAGCCTTGCTTCAGATTACATTGAGCTTATACAAGACAGTTCTCAATCATTTAGTTACTTGGCATTCTTTGAGGAAGATGATGAAAGAAGAGCTAAAATGCACAAGCGACGCATTGATATGTTAGAGGAACTCATAAAGCAAGTAAATCCTACATACTACTTGCAATACTGCCGGCAGTTGTGGTTTGAGTTAGGGGAAGTCTACTCAGATATCCTGAATATAAAGTTGGATAAATTGAACAGATGTAAGGAGAAACCAACTCCACATGCCTTGAAGAAGATTAACTTGCTCTGTGAAAAGAGTATTGAGAATTATGACCACTTTTTGAATTCAGTCAAAGACAAAAATGGGAAGATGCCTTTGAAACTTGAGAGTGATGTCATAAGGCCTGTAATTAGTGCATATGCCTTCATGGGTAGAAACAGCATGAAGAGGATTGCTGTTGACAAATCAGCACAGTTGACCAATCTCCAGAAGAGTTATGATTCTTATCAAGCAGTTGTTGACATTTGCACTAATGACAAAGATGCAGCCATTATGATGCGTGAGGAGTTTAGCCTCTGTCAGGAGATGGTTAATATTCTGCCTATAAAAATTAAAAGACTTGAAATTGAGTTAGCAGCCAAGTAAAAATCTCAGTTAAAAATTTATGAATTTGTTAATGAGCTTGCAATTCTTCAATGTAACATCATGAAGAAATAATAGGTGTACTTAATGAATGGTATAAAACCTACATAAACAACTGAAATGCTTTCAGTATAGCTGTTTTTGGTTCAAATCTGCAGTACCTAATATAGAGTACCTACATTTTTATTATGTTGACAAAACCTATTGGATTTTTATGAAATGGGAATGTTGCACAATTAATAGAACCTATATAACCAGCGTTGCATCGCTTTCACTATTAAGCATCATGTTGAATATATTTGTAATTATAAAGTTTTTGTTGAAGAAAAAAATAATACAATAGTTACAAACCGAGTTAAGTTTTTCATTTGATTCTCATTAAAATATTATAATAATCTTCTTGATTACACGAATTGAAACCAATTAGTTACTAGAATTAAGTATTATGCAAGACATGTGTTTTCCGGAAAATAATAAGATTTATAATTTAGAATGAAACGTGAGACCGCACAACGTGGGTTACGGAATGAGTTCGTCTAATTTACGATATCATCTATGTACCTACTATCGTATATTTTTCCTTAAGAATTATGAATTACTAGGTAATGCCTACTTACGTTATTGCGTAATCAGCTAGCTGCGATTGCAAGTTTATACATGGAAAAAAATCGTTTTCTATTAGATTCGTTAAGGCCGGCATCAAGACTTCTTTTAGTAAAGTACTAGGACCGTGTGTCAGTAGAAGAGTCCTGAACCTGAATGTCTTGATAGATTGAGATCAATTTCCTATACAACGAAATAAGTATCATCATCAAGAATAACCACAGTGCCTACCTAGGTATTTGCTATTGCATTTTATAAGGCGCTTGAAGATATCGTGGTTGTTGCTAAACTGAGTAAAAATNATAAAAATCAGTCATTATGTACCATAATCAGTATTAAACCTAAGGAATCTTAACGAATGATGCAATAAAGATTTGACTAGTGTGTGGACCAGAATAAGCGTTTAAAATTACTTACTAAAATGTGCTTGGCGATAGATAGGTATATTGGTAATCTATTTTGAACGTATTGTTTACACAAAATTACATAACTTGGCTTGGTAGAATGCCAAACACGATCACGCTCTCCGGGAATGGACTTCCAGTCACAACATTTTAATGACCTGTTTGTATCGGCTTCGGTTTTTGCATCACATTTTTGTTTGTTGCACATGTTTACCTACCTACATTTATTTATTCCTCACAAATTAAGAGCAGCAACTGCCCACCTAAGTTGTGAACGCAATTTTAGTAATTAGTCCTGT